TATATATATTACGATCAAGAAGCATATAAAAAGTAAGAGAGACATAGAGAGATAAATAGATTTATAGAAAGAACGGTAACAAGATGGTCTTTTTCGGTTTATGCAATCAGATGTTCTTGGGGAAATAATAATATATTGTATTACTAAAGACGACCATGTTGTAAAATTCTAAAACTTACACTATAGTTTTCCCTTCATAGTTAATATAAATCTGACTATACAAGAAAAACATTAAACTATTAATCATTAACTACTTGAAATTATTAACATAAATAGATTCATTTACCATTGCTCCAATCTAAATGATGATCCAATCTAAGTGTATTTAGATGAAAATCTTTAAAATATATGATAGTTTATCAAAAGACTATCCTTTATTAAAACGAAAGTTTGAGAATTAATGTTAAGATATATTTTAAAATTTACATGGGACTTAAAAGAGAAGATAAATATATCCATTTTTACTTTACATTGATTTAAAAAAAGAAATTTCGAAATGCTTAGTATAAACTTGACGTATAAGCAAGTATAAATTTTTATTTAAGTAATTGTAATTAAAATAACATGTAGTGAACAGCTTTGCATTAGTTCTGATTCCTGCTTGATTCTGAAATGCAACTCAATTATGATTTTTTTACAAGTAAATATGTTTTAATTGACTTTTAAAAAATGCATATTTAAGGAAAGGCAAAGCTAGAAGAGTTTGTGCACTATTTGACAAAAAAATAAGAAATAAATTTTAATATTTTTTCCCCAAACCATCATTTAACTGAAGTAGTTTTTTCTGTATAGTTCTTATTAACTTCATTTTCGTATTATTTTTCCTATATGCTTTTAATTTTAACAACAGATGTGATAAACCCAATGCATTTGTTGCAGCAATCTGTTCTTACTAAATTGATTGTTATTTTACTAGTAGTTGCAGTTAAATCATTAACAATAAATTGACAATTATCTTGCATTTAAAAGCAAAGCTCTTAGAGTTTTGTATACATGTGATATATTATCAAAAAGTCACTGTTTTGGATTTTCAAAACCTTTTGTAAACTGGCCCTCAATCTCCCTCGGAAGATTTTACATTAACGTATTTTATGAATAGTTCTTAAATAGGTACTATTATTCTTTTAATATTGCGTTTTAAGTTTGTTTGTATTTTTACTTCATATTACGTTAATTTTCGAAAATATATTGCATCCAAAATTGTAAAATCTTTGGATTGTCGTTATAAAAAATTTCATATTGGAAGACGTTTAAGGATATAATTTTTTTTTATTCTTTAGAGAGTAACTTTTTTAAAAAATTTCCGGAATGGCAATCTAAAAAGATTTACATTAAGTTTTGTTCTTGGAAAGAGTGAAGAAGAAGAAAGATATTACGAGAAATATATTATTTCAAGAAAGATACTATGGCGGTTAGACTTTTCGACAAAAAAGTAGTATTTATTAATACAAAAAAATAATAATAAGTTATCATGCAACAACTAGTATTTCTCTGAAGATGTTGAACTGCTACAATTTCATGACAAATATCATTAATATAGCTATTTGGTTAGAAATGCGCATCTGTTCCTTTTTACTTATAAGGCAAGCTGGAACCCATGGAACTAAAACATGGTGAACTTTAAACTACCTCCACCATTAATTATTTCATTTCATTTTTTTACCCAACACGGTGAAACAAAAATTCTGGAAAAATCACTGCACTGTGTAGAAATAGCTTCTTTGGTTAAAAAAACATAATTCGATTAAATAAATCCAAATAAGGTAATGTTTTAACCATTTATTTTGTAATTTTTCCGTTCATAAAATAACAGTTTACTGAGAATTCTGGTTTTCAAAATAATAGCTAATTTTACCAAAGCACATCGTTTAACAATTATCCAGCTTTTTCATGTTCCCATAGAAGCAGAATTACGGAAAATTTTAAATATTTTGGTAATTTTGACCATACTTTTTTCTCACTGCATAATTATTTAATTTCTGTTAAATAACGATGTACAAAATATATACAAAGCTTATTGCTTAATATATCAAATTTAGTCCATTATGAGATCCTAGTTTTAACGCGACGAACTAATGACTTTCTTTTCTTTTTTTTTTTTACATAAAAATATAAGAAACAAGAAAATAAATGTTTTTCAGAGCTAAATTTGCATAATAATAGACTTCTCCATTGAAAGTTTTTATTTAAATTTCGAAGTAATTAGTTTTAAAAAAGATTACTTTTCCACAAAAACTAATTACTTTAACTGTCAAACAATTTTCTTGTTATAATTAACGTACTTCGTATGTAATTACTTACCATTTGCAGATTTATGTTCAACAGTATATTTCGCAATCACGCTGTTCCCACTGTAAGGAGCAGACCACGTGATCGATGCCGAGCGACTACCCTTTGTGGTGACATCTACACTTGATGGTCGGTCTGGTGGTTCTGGTGAGGAAAAGATAAGACGTTTTTAAGAACTCAGCAAATCTATTTAACAAACTCGCAAAGAAATTCACTCCGTCTCGTTTCTCATTAATTAAAAGGAAGCTAAATGAATTCCAATTAATTTTATCAAGACTGTAGTTTGCGCTGATGAGGACAATTTAAAAAAAGTAATGATGAGTTCTTTATTAAATTTAATTGAGTTTTTTGACAATTCAAACTGAAATTGAAAGTAGGATAAAATTAATTGATTCAATTGAAATATTTAAAATTAAAAGCTTGTAGAAACTATAAATTCTTCGGGATAAGAAGAATATAATTATACTGATTAAACTATATTTTTCATAGGAACAAAAAGGAAATTTATATTTTGATAAATTGTGGTAAAATTTATACTTAGGAAATATCTAATTACTTATTTTATTTTACATTTATCAGCACGGTTAAGTGGATATTGTTTTTGAATATTTAATTTTTTTCTTCCAATATATAATAAGAAGCACTGGAAAGTGACACATTTAATGAGTGTACTGAAGCGGCTATGGTGCTTCTTGTTTGTGACATTCACTTAAAGTAACAACTGTTTCAATGATTAAAAAAATCATGATTTGTAAACTTAAACAGAAGACAAGTCATTTAATAATTTTTAATACTGAAAATTAGTGTGAAAGTAACTAATATTCAGTTGATTGTTTATCTGATGTTAATTAGTGTTTATTTTCGTTTGTAATGTAACTTATATTATTATGTTTAATGAAAGTAAAAATTTTTCCTTTATAATGATTTTCATTGATACATATTTAATTATTCTATAGTTGCATTCGAATGTATGGCTCATTTAGGAACTGTAAATTAATGAGTATCATGATCTAAGAACGTTGTTTAGATCTTTTTTTTTGTATCCTCAGAATTTTTATTCTATGTAGAAAAAATGACATATTTTACAAGCTTGTCATTAAAATCCTGTATTGACTTGATTTTAAAACTTAATATTTTATTCTTTCTTAAGTAAAGGAAATAATAATTTAACAATTCTTACCTTGAACTACGATTTGAAAATTCGTATCATCCCTCCCATATGCATTCTGTGCTATACACGTAAAAAGAGATGAATCCTTCCTATTCACAGAAGATATTTTCAATGTAGTCTCAATTCCTTCATTATAAATCTTCTCTTCTAAGGCATACCTTTTCAATTGAAGGTAGAAAACACACAAAAACTCAAAATTATACAAACTAAAAATATTTTATTTTCATTCACATTTAAGTGTAAACAAAATAATTTTATTTATTTTTAAAGTAAAAGCAATTTGAAGAAATATTTTTTCATATAATTTTCATTAACTCAGAGCTAAAAATTTAACTCCAATTTTGTAACGCTATAGCTTTTATATAATTTTGTTATTTTTTGTTTGAATCTATATTCGAAATTTATTGAATCCATACAAGAAAACCACACGGATCATCAAATTTTTTAAAAATTTCCATCCTAACATGAAAAAAGTGTTTTTAGAAAGAAAAAAAAACTTTTTTTATGGAAGTTCTTGCTCTTTAATTGAAATAATTTTTATTTGGCGCAAAATAAACTTTGATCTTAAATTTAAATGACTCATTGAAGATACGTAACGATAAAATGTAAGACAGAACCTCAAAGTTAAAAAAAAGTATTAAATATTTTTCATCAGCGTACTGTGTTGAGAAATATTAAAAGCGTACAAGATCATAAAAGTGTACAGCTTTTAGAGTTTCTGTACAGGTTCTTTAATAAACGATAATAGTAGTAAAAACAAATCTTATTTGACATTTTTTAAGTATTTTATGAAACATTAATTATAAATAAATAATGAACGATTTTGTCTGGAACTCAAAATCGTTTCTAATCCATACAAATAACTATAACATATATAACACGTTGTTTATGAATTTTAGTTTTTTAAGAATTTTTTTTTCTACTATTTAGTCAAACAATAAAACTTCATTTTGATGAGAATGAACATTTTTTAGATATAAAAATTAAATGGTATTAGTTCTTGCTTTATTATCAGTAAGAAGTTTTTATTGAACCAAAAAAATTATAAATTTTTTTTAAAGTGTCATTACATTAAAGTGATATAAATCAATAAAAAATAATTAAAATTATGTAAATATTTTTAGTACACGTATATGTCTTTAGAATATGTTTTTGGCATCTGTCCTTTGACTTGATATTAATATTAAAGATCTATTTTGAACTAAAAATTTGTAAGAAATCATTAAAGTGTCAACTGAAAGAAAAAATGATATGCAGCTATTTATAATAATTAGAAAACAAAGAAGAGCAACGTCTATAAATAAAGTGGGCAATAGCATAGATTAAATGTTGACTACACAGAAAATTTTAACCCGTCTAATATTCGCGATCGCAACGCTTGAGTACGCCGTCTAGCGGGAGCCTGTAAATATCGGACATTAACTTAATACAATCACATTTTCTG